CCCCGTGTAGCTTAAGAGTCTTCTATATCTCCTTTTGATACTCAATGAAATTACTTTCTTCGGATGTTTGCAAAACAGTGTGAAACCAAAATTTTGGAAAAGCAAAAAAAGAGTTGGAAGTTTTAATCGTCATCATCGGAAAGTTTTCAGTTTGACAAAGTTTATCGATCGGTTTTACATTGGGAAAATGCACCAAGTGAAACTTATCTTTACTTGCATGTAAGTATGTAAGAAGAAGGCTTCAGTGATAGTGAAATCAAAGCAAACCAGGGAAGACGTACTGAACCGGTTCATTAACGCTGCAGGCCAGCTTTGATGTATGCTGCGTAAAGATCCCTGCGTTTCAAAATTGCTCAATTGTAAGTACGGTAACAAAAGTAAAAACGCAAATACTTTGATGTCTTGGTGAAAAGAAACTTACATGGAGTCCTTAATTGCGTCTATGGCAGCTTGAGCTGGGAGGAAACCTTCGACGTCGACTTTCTTGTTCTCGTTCTTCTTGTCTAAATTATTTTGTGTTAAGTGAAAACTGAAAACAAAGCATAATCCAAAACAGAACTCTTGTTCTGTAAAGAGAGAAAAACTGAAAACAAATGCTATATGGGATGTTATTTCGTGGATACAGTCTTCGAAGAAGCGACGGATTTCAGCTAGACGGTGAGGAGGAAGCTCTTTGATGTCTCTGTAGTGACGGAACTCGGGATCATCAGCACACACTGCAATTATCTTGTCGTCTTTTTCACCCTGCAAGTTTCAGTAAACAAGGTGATTCATGGCTTCTTACTAATGTAAAACATCACAGAGAAGGAGAAGATAAAAATTTGGGTTTACAGGTTGTTACCTGATCAATCATGGGCATTAAACCAATAGCACGGGCACGGAGGAATGATCCTGTTAGCACAGGCTCCTGCACAGTAGTTATCAATCATCACAGGTTGGTTAATTCACTGTTTGTTTCTGTCAAGTTTGCATGAACATAAAAGCAAAGAAGAGGCGAGAGAGAGAGCACCTGCATTAGTACCAGGACATCTATTGGATCACTGTCTTCACAAATGGTTCGAGGAATGAAACCGTAGTTGTGTGGGTACACAATGGATGAGTAGAGAACACGATCAACCTAGAGAGGAAAAACATTCAGTATTCAGTGATCAGAAAATTTCTTCTATTCAAATCTTATAGTGAATCATCTTTAGCTTGAATCCATAAACTGCAGAACTAAGCAAAGAATATGAGGGATCACAAGACAGGTCCATACTTAATAAAGTAAATACACTGTACCTTAATAAGGCCACTGTTCTTGTCTAGCTCGTACTTCACCTTGCCACCTTTGCTAATTTCAACAACCTGATAAAAACAATCCAATCTTCGTTTTAACTCTAAAAATGATCTACTCTTCCCCTACGCAACGCAGAAGGAGAGATAAAAGCTTACACAGTTGAAAACAGCAGGAGCTTCTGGACCTGAAAGATTCAACAAACAAACAAACAGACACTCTCATCATCAAAGCAAAAAGCAATGCGTATGACTTGAAATCACATGAGTATATATAAAAGTAACAAGAACAAGTATACATGCGCACTTGTATGAAATCAATAAGAAATAAGCTTCATTCTATCACAAGATTTTTAGAGTAGTACCGATCTCCAAATCATGCCAAGGATGAGCAGCAGCTGATCTGTGTGTAAAGGCTGAAAAATTCCTCTCGTTAAGGGTAACATTAGGGTTCCTGAGAGGGAAAACATAGCTCTTGGCACTTCCTTCATCGTTGTTGTTATCAGCCATATCGAATGTCTCTACTGTAACTTGAAACAAAACCATAAGCGCTAAAGTTAGACTAGAGGATCATAAAACAACAGAATCCAAACTTGGACTAAACATTAAAAATCTCTAGAAAGATCATAATGAAAAATCACAGTTCCAGTTTTTCAAATTCGAGCAAGAGAAGTGAAGCAGACACATAAATCTACGATAATCACTGTTCTATTGCAACTCTCGCTATCATCATCTTAGAGAACAATCTCACAACATTAGAGTCTCAAAGTATCAGAGATATCGAAGAAACGAAGTAGATCCATCCTCGATTTCATGTAATTACAAAGCAAAATCACCTCCTAACTCTAATAACCTGTACAAACTATCAATCGGCAAAAACTCAACACAACCGAGAATCTATGAATCGATATCATAGACGAAGAACAATCCAAGTTCTCGACGGATTCAACAAAGCACGAACGAGAAATCAGGCACCATTAACAGCAAAAGATGATCAAAATTTCACTTTATCGACGGATTTCGAATGAGAAACGAGAGAGAATCTGATCTTACAGATGCAATTCCAAGCTTCAATCGAAGAAGAGATTCACGCAGCGTTTTTATTTTTTCTCAGTTTAGCAGTTACAGTAGAGAGAGTATTCGTGTGAGTGCTTTGTTTTTTATGGACGTTGGAGGAAGGAGACGATGACGTCACCAATTCCTTGGTTGTTGTTCATCGTCAATTGTACGATGGATCGTGTACGTTGAATTTGAAAGGGAAACGATCCGACGGACGTGGTTTTTATTCTAAATCTTTTAAGGTTTTTTTTTTTTTTTCTAAAATAAAGCCTTTGTATTTTGTACCTTTTAAATTGAAGGAAAAGAAAAAGGCCGACACTGATGTGCCCAAAAAGCATTCGAATTACTAATCAATACATGACGCGTGTCCTGTTAATTAGGCGCTTTCCTTCTCATTTGATTCCGTAATTTTTTTTTTTTTTCAACAATTCCTTATTTTCATAAGAAAAGCTGAAAAAGTATGATTAGCAAAAAGTATCCATGAATAACTTGTAAACTCTGTGTAGCATTTGTTTCATGTTAACAAAGAAATTTAACTGGCAAAAAAAGAGAGCAAAAACTAAAATGGAAGGACTACATAGTACATATATGTGAAAATTGAGGGCTGACTAGTAAATTAAATAAATATATATTTTTTTATCTTTTCATATATTTTGGACCAAAACTCTTTTCATATCATATAATACAAAAATATATAACAAAATTGCTTCTCATCTAATTTGATAAGAAATTTAAAAAATAAAAAAAATAGGTATAAAAATATTAACATAAATAGTAGAAATAAACTTATGAAAATTGGACATTTTAATTTAACCTTCACCTTCTTCTTCTATAATATGAGAGATATTTTCTTTCTGTTTTCTAACCTAATAAAACGGCTAAAGCAATAGCAATTAGCAAGAGGTACACAATTCTCTCTTTTTATAACTATTCTAATTCATTGGAGTAAAATAGCATTGTGGTATTTGTGCTATAACACATGTATTATATATATTTGTTAGATACCATGTCACGTTCAAGAAATAACAATGAAGCATGTCGTGGATGTCAGTCAAGTGATGATCCAAGAACCACATATGATGGCGAAACAATTCGTGAACTTCAAGTATTTAATTACGTTTATATATTTTTTTTCTTCTGCAATTCTATGGATGCATTATTATGAAACATGTGACATAATTATGATAAAATATACACTTTAGTATTTGTGGAAGGATAAAACTTGTCAAGTTATGCTTGACCTCGTCATTGCAGAGTTATAAGAGCAGATGGTTATCATAGTAGAATGTTAGATGTTGCTCATAGAAAAAGAATTGAAAACCAACACTTTGAATTGATTGGAGAAAAGGATTCTTGGGAGCCAGATAAAAGTAGTAAGATTGGTTACTTTATAAATTCTGGATAATTAACAACTAATTGATAAACCGCAGTGTTGTTTCGGTTAATCGATCTACTGAAAAATAGATATGACACACAAAATTGGTGGACTGATGGGATTACGGTAATTCTCTATCTTTATTATATACACTTATTTATGTTCTAGTTTAGAATTTTTTTTTAGTTACTTTCATTTCATTATTCACATAAATATGAAACAAAGGAATCTTTGTTCATGTATTGCAGAAAAAAACCTTTGCCAATTAAAGATTTGTTGGATCAAATTTTTTTGTATTAGATGGGCTTTTGGAGGTAAGCTAATATTATGGTTTTGTGATGGATTTATCTCTACTTGGTTTGCTCGATTTATAGTGTTTGCTTCCTAAGTGGTGTAGAATGAAAATTTTGTGTACTGTATTGCAGCAATCGCAGAACTACTTGATAATGCTGTTGACGAGGTATGCAAGATTGAGGGAAAGGCTTCTCTTTTGGTCATTTTGAGTGAATGGGTTTCTTATGTATGTTAATTGATTCTTCCTCAAATACAAAATGATGCCACTTTTGTTAAGATCGATAAGATCAATATTGTCAAAGATAACTCACCAGCTTTAGTTTTCCAAGGTACATTGCCTTTGATTAAACGTGTGATGGTTTAGCCTAACCGTGGCTTAGGGTGTTTTTAGTGACACGGTCTTTCTTTTCTTTTCTCACTTGAAGATGATGGCGGCGGGATGGATCCCAATGGGATCAGAAAATGCATGAGCTTAGGCTACTCATCAAAGAAGTCTAATACGACGATTGGACATTGTGAGTTTTATAATCTGTTAATCGCACGTTGAGCTTGAGCTTCTTAGGTGATTATTAAAAGTCAGGTTTCTAACCATAGTTCCACCTTTGTGTGCAGATGGAAATGGTTTCAAGACAAGTACTATGAGACTGGGAACTGATGCCATTGTTTTTAGTCGCTCAACTCGTGAAGGGTATTGATATATCTGGTACATATACAATCTGAATTTGGCGCATGCTCTTGTTTCTAACTTTACCGTAATTTAAGAGCACTGCCACTTAGGGGTGTCCATTTGCAAAAATATCACTAATTATAGATTTATAAAACCTATATCTTAAAATTCTAAACCCTAAAAAAATGTTTTGACCCCTAAAACCTCATAAGCACTCAAAACTAAACTCTTGCGTGGCTGAGTTATTGTTTCTGGGAAAAGGAAGCAATAGCGTCACTTGTGATAGTCTTTAAAATCCAACGTGTCGTTAATTTGCCGAGAACAAAAGCTCAGAATAAATGAAGATATAAGCTGAAGATTGCCACGTGGCATCGTTTAACATAGTTTTTTTTCATCCAACGTGGATAGCTTGAGAGGCCTCAAACTATTTTTTTTAGTTAGT